TCTCCTCCTCCTCCTCCTCCTCCTCCTCCTCTCTCTCTCTCTCTCTCTCTCTTTCTCTCTCTCTTTCTCTCTCTCTCTCTTGATGGGTCTCTTTGGGTTAGTTTAAGCTCTCTCCACACATATGTCATGAGAGGAGAAAGTTTTTGATGATATTCAGTAAAATATTGGAGGATTTATATCAATAATCTATGTATTTTTAAAGTATAATAATTAAAGGCTTTACTTCGATCTTAGTTTCATATTTTTATGAAGCAGAGATGATACGTCGCAAAATTTTCGATAGCTAAATATTTAATTGATACGACAATTAGGGTTGTAATAATAAAAACAATTTTAGGATGGATTATCGTGAGATTTTTTTATATTTAAGAATGAAGGATTAAAGATTTAATAATACTGTATTAAAAGTTTTTAATATATTTTTTAAATATATAAAATATTAGATTATATTGCAAGATACAATATAAATTGGGTATTAAACTTGTCGAAGCTGATATTACAATTATGCAGTTTTGAAATAATTTTTATTAATCAAAGTAACTAATTTAATTATCACATCAGGAAGAAATTTCTCAGTTTTTCTTTTGAAACAATTTTTTTCTCTCTATTCTTTCTTTCCAATTTTTTTATGTATTTATTTTATTTTGGTATTTGACTTTTGCGTGCATTTATTTTAATTCGAAGCTTCGCGATCTTTGGTTCTTTCATTCGTCGCGGCCCTTATTTTCCAGAATAGTGGCTATAAACCGGTCGTAAACTTAGAATTAAATGCCACTAGTGGCACATGTTCGGCACAGACTGCGTATCTTCACGGGAATGTGTGCCACCGTTGAAACGTTGTTTTCGATTCTGTCTTTTCCGCAGTAATTAAACATTATCTTAAGATAAGACATTCTTAATGTTTTATGTATTGATGATTTTCAAGAACGATATAGGATAGTGCATAAAAAAGTAGTTTGATTTTAGTGTTAATGAATGTAGTTATAATATTAATGCGAGAATGACAAATGTAATTCCAATAACGATGGTGCTTTTTTTCTTTTGCAGGAGAGCCCACCTTAGAACTTGTCTCGAGAAGCTGAAGTTGTTAGTGCCACTCGGGCCTGAAACTTCGAGGCATACCACGTTGGGCCTTTTGACTAAGGCCAAGCGTTTTATCAAGGTAAGTGTAATTATATATAAGAAATAAAGAGAAAACAGATGATAAGAATGAACAGAAATCGTGTAAAAGAAATTTTAAGAAGACAGATTATTCTTTTTATCCTCGACAACTAATGGTCTCTTAGATCCGGAATTTAGAGTTTATGATGCAAGATTGTCCGCCGCGAAAGAAAAATGATTATCTCCAGAAAATGTGATCCGAAATTTGAGAGATAACGCAGGAGAGGCGTATTAAGAATTTATTGTTCTTCAGTTGAAACAGGGTTCAGAAAGAACAAACGGGAGAAAGGGCGACGGTAGGGAAAAGCAGAGCAAGGTGTTGCAGCAAACAGAGTGGCGACGCACAATAGACGCGTAGTTAGTAAATTACAGACTGCCAGGGACAATGGCGTACGTACTAAGCGAGCAAGCACGTGTGCGTGTCGGTGTAGAGCCTACAGGGTGGCGCGGATAAAAGTGCACGGATTCTGACAGGTGATGGAGATGCCAAACAATATGAGTCTTCCATTCTCATCATCAACCGTTCTCGTAAAAAATACTTAAAGTACTCACTATTTACATTCATACACTTACACAACTACTGTATTTCGAATGTACACACGTGAGATTGACGTAATCTGAGTGTGTGGCTTCTTTGTTATTTACTTGATTTATTTTGATTTTTTTTCTTGAGGAATGGATTTCTCTTCAAATTTTTGCGATTTAATAAAAATACTGAAACAAACGCGATAACGTAATAGACTTTAAAATTATGAAATATTAAATCACAAGAGAGATACAAGTCCTGATTAACACGAGACGAAAAAAATAAATTAAAAATAACTTAAAAATAAATTTAAAAAATGAAAAAAATAATAGAAATATAAAATAAATTTGCCGCATAAAGAATTGAGCCATTTGTTTTATACCGATGCGATTCCCTTGATCATCTGTTATGATCCACGCGTTTGTACTCGGAGCACCTTGTAGAGTGGCGAGCAGCAGTGCGTATCCACCGTTCATTCGTGCATGCATAGCCCGCGTGGGAGACTCAGCGTGTACATCAATCTGACCCGCGGGCATCTATGTACATTATGTGCCTGCGTTAGGTAGGAGAAAAATGTTCGCTCGTCCGCCATTTGAGGAGAAAAGTTGCTACGCCTAGTTTAAAGATGCATCTACAGGCGTGATAAAGGTGACACTGTAGAATAGAGTAGACAGAATAGATAGTAGAATAGAATATTTATTGCTAATGCTCTCGTTATTACTAATGCGATATGTAATTAGTTACAAGAAGGTATTCACTTTATACGAGCGTTTGAACAAAACTGAGACTGTCGGAATTCAATATTTTACCCGCGGTCCAATAGAGTCGAGAACAATAGAGCCGATTAATTATAGCGGCGTCGCTTGCGATGAAAATAGAAGGAACGCGAGCAGCGAAAGGGAGGATGGGAGATGAAGAATTAAAGACTAGTGAATAGATAGATATGAGTCAAAAAAAAAAAGTAGACAGGAAAAGAAAGCGAGGGAGACGCGGAAATGTCGTTTCCACAGAGGTAGCTCTTCCGCAAAGAAGCAAAGCATAGAGGAAGGAATGAGACGGGGGAGGGGGGGGGGTTGGAAGGAGGTGCAAAGCGACTTGTATTTCGCGGGGTTGGCTGCTGGTAATTCTTCATTTGTCCACCTCTGAACTCCTTTCTTCCTGTTTCGCTTCGCGATTCTTTTCACACTCTTAGTAGACGTCTTCGCCGTTTAGCCTCGTCATAATTATTATTTAAGATTTATCATTTTTTCACTACTGTTTTTTAACTCTGCACAAAAATCATTTAACATATATCTCTTATTAACGACGTAATACAAAGCATCGCAACAATCTTGATGCCGATTTTGAGGCTACTGATCGTAAGTAGTAGGAGTCAGTTGAGTCTCACTCCTGAGGTCGGTCGATTTACGGCGCTTTACGACGAGGTTTCACCCCGCCTCACGCTTGCCTTAACCTCCTTTTATCTCCGTTGTAAATTCATATCGAGTCGTATAGAAAGCACGAAGCCAGAGAGGAACTTTCCTATGATGCCAGTCACACTGGCATCAACACGCACACATGCACACGCACATTACCTATCGCATGGAATTCTTATCTGCAATCAGGTGATTCTGCCGCCTGCTACTTCCACTCTGGTGTCACAACATATCTTGAATCACTGTTGATTTCATACTATCATCTTATCGGAAAAAAATTTTAATACAAAAATATATAAATTATTTGTATATGAAATTTTTAGGAATAAGCTGTGAGCATTTCAATAACATTAGAGTTAATAAATTATTAAATTTCAGGAAAATTTTGATTTTACATATAAAAAATTTTTAATCTAAAAGTTTGAGATTAAAATATAGAAATGGAAAAATATTCTCTTTGAAGAGTGCTAGTTCTAAATTTTCAAACCTTGAGTTTTTAACTTTTAAAATGCAATTTGTAAAACTGCCAAATCTATGCATTTCAAATACTACGCAGTAGGAAACGCATTAGTTGCATTCGGTCATTTCCCGTTCGGCGATTTGCACCGGAATTGGCCAGCCTCTTCTAGGTAAGCGCTCGTTGTTGCGTTACGAAATGGCACGTCGTACACAATACAAAGGAAATCGATTATCAACTGACGTCGATTCTATTGTCAGGGCTCGGGACAAAGAAGACGAAAATATATTTTGCAAATAATCAATTAAATTAAAAAGCTTAGTGTACAGTAATGGATATAGGTTGTTTGACGTGTAAAAAAATTAATTAAAAGTGAGACGATATATGAATAAATATAAATAATTGCGAATATCGTTCCATTTTAACATATGATAAAGATTGAAAGAGTTAATATTAATATATGTATATTACAATCATATCACAATCATGAGTTACATCATATCGACTGAATTACAGAGCCTGGAGGATCGCGAGCGCAAACATGCCATACACAAGGAGCAGTTGTCGCGCGAGCACAGGTTCCTGAAACGACGGCTCGAGCAGCTGACGAGCCTGAATGGCCTTCACGCGCTTCACGGCCTCCATGGGCTCAGCACGAGCGCGCCGACCGGATCCGCCACCGCTGCGGCCGCCGCTGCCGCCGCCTCCGCTGCGATGCTATCCAAGCGGCGCAGCATTTCCGAATGCTCCCTAGGCACGGCGTCTACTAGTTCCACCGGGAGCTCCAGGAACTCCGACAGGTCTGCGGGCAGCCCATCTATCTCGGAGTCCGGTGAGTAGCAGCGGAATGTCATTAAATGTCACATCTGGGTCTGTTCTGTCCCACTAAACTTTCTTGGACATTCTCGTATATATATATATATATATATATATATATATATATTTCGTCTCTCTCTTTTCTCTATAAATATTAACAATACTTCTCTCACTTTAAATTTTCACAAAAGTGCACTTGTTCGGTGCCTTTCTGCAGAGTTGTTACTGCGATGTTGTATTTCAACTTAAAATTAAATTGCAATATGAATGATTAATACTCTAATAAATTTTCTGTAACTCGAAAAATTGCAAACATCTAACAGAAACTAAAGTATCTTTGTGTAAAAGAATCGTGTCGCTTTAATATTATATGCAATACTTGATTACATTAGAGACGTTTCTTTATAAGAGCATAAAACTGAAGCTTTTCAGAATTTGGTGCATGCAATAATCTGATATTATAATAAGCATAAAAAATTCGGCAGCAATAGGAGGTATAGTTTATAACAATTCATGATATTTTAAAATTATTTTCCGTAAAATTCTTTTCTTGCTTATTGCGTTTTTAAGGCAACACCTTTAAAGCATCTAATTATCCGAGGTTACCAGCAATGCTAATTTTTCCTCTGATCAATCTAGTTCCGCTGATTAAATCTTATTCGCTGCAAGTCGGCAGTAAGATGGAAAGCATCACGATAGACTCTGCGTCGGCTATTCTATCTGCATTTTAAACCCGTAAACGAGTGGATTTATCTGTTTAATTTTTCGTGGCGTTGTTATTTAAGCATGCAGCCATGCACATAATATACACATGCATACAATCGTTCCATATTCATCGTGACGTTTACGAGTGATTTTTCCAACTTAATCTTTTGTGTTTGCTTTGGAAAATTATTCAAATATATCGATAAAGAGTTGTTTTTTTAACTAACTACATTTTTATCAATGTTTTATTTTTCCATTTCTAAGTCTTACATTAGAATAACGTGTTTTCTATGATTTCTGTTTGTTCGATGATATTGCAAAATATCTCGACTCGATAGTCTCGACAATCATTCGAATATTTAATCTTTCGTGCTAATTAATGATTTTTTATTCTGCACTCGAATATAATTCATTGACAATATTATAGATATATATGCAGGAATGTTGACAAATAGTTTCATTAATTTTGTGATCTAACAGTTTTAAAATTATGTAGTTATATTCTCGGATAAAGTTTCACAAAATTCCGATTTTGTCTGTGGCACCGCTGTGACGGCGTGCGTCGTAAAAATGCATTCGCCATCGCGTGAAATATTGCAGCACGCAGAGGTGGATGGGTTTTCTGAAGGAGTTCCTGGGAAAAAAGGAGGTCGAGCTGGCGGTAGGTGAAGGAAATCGGAAGACGGTTGTGGGGGTGTGTGCGGGAGGTGGACGTTGAAATTGATGATCCCGCGGGAATATCCCCGACGAAGTACTTATCATAAGTCACATGTGCCACGCCGGCGATTTTTCGGAAGCCATCCCGAATTTCCCGCGCTTTTTTGTGTCAGGATAGCGACATTCATTGCAATTTTTTTATTACTATCGCATTAAATATCTAATTCGATATTAATTCAGTCAAAAAATGCATTACTTCTCACATGTGGTTCTTTTATCAATAGTGTATGCTTTTTATGTGCATGATGTCATCTAAATATGAATCATAATTGCAAGGCTGCATATGTCGATTACGCAATATGCTTATTTAAAAAAAAATTTTTTTTTTAGTGTTTTTTGAATCTGGTTTATATTTAGGTATATACTGAAAAAATAAAATGTATATATTTTTATATTTGGCAGTCTGAATAAAAAGTCTGCCGTCTCTTCTATGTATACATGTACGCAGTTACGTAGTCCAGTACATGTTTGATTTTTTCTAGAAACTTTAATATGAGATTGTTAAGTGAATTACCAAACATGATAAGATCTATGTTCAAGATTTGTCATGTTAAACTTTAGTATGCAGGGTTTACAATGTAATTTGTACAATGCGTTACAATTTGTAAATTGGAAACATGTGGATTATTAATTAACCAAATTTTTTTTGTAATAGCTAAAAAGAATTACGTTTGAAGATCTGTTTTAAAATTTAATTTAGTTGATTTAATTAAATGAAATACGTTGAAATGTATGTCATAACAATAGAAAACTTTGTTATTGCAACTTTTAAGCAAAAAAGATTTGTCAGATGGTAGGTTTCGAACTCACGTCCGCGAAGAAATGAAAAACTTTGCGATATTTTAAATGAAAAGCAGGATGGAAGATGGAAAGTAGAATATAATAAGTTTGAAACAATTTTTATTTTAATTACTGACTTCGGACTTAAATAGAATTGGAAAATATATTTGAAGAATGACGAAGGAAATTGATTCTACTGAACGAGTAGATTTATCGACTTTCAATGACATTCTATTTTTCTCTACGTCTGTTTTCGCTCCCGAGTTTTTCTTCTTTATATTTAGACTCACAATGGTACAGAAGGTAGGATAGGAGTGGTAAAACTATTTGTCAACACCCCTGCATATGCACTCACGGTTGTCATCGGTAAATCACACCCGCGAGTGCAGAAATATTGACCGCGGAATTGCTCGACGAGGTCTTCCGAAAGTTTACTTAGCTCGAGCCTGTTCGCGCTACACAATTACATATCTCGCATGCACGTTACACGATCGGACAAATACTGACCAGCGACTATATCCCGCAGCGTTGCGAAGTTATCGTAACTGGGTTGGGACACGATCGAGACTTAATCGAGACCGATGACATGTATAAATAGACTAGATAATCTGTTCGCCGCGCGAAGCCGGAAGTTGACAATTGAGAACTGAAGGAGATAATTTGCGCGCGCTTGGCAGTTTACCTTTCTCGCTCTATTTTGCACGAAGGTGTCATTGCGGCGCTATTTATAAATTTATAAATTTAAAATGACTCGGAATTGGGAGATCGTTAATTAAAATATGAAGCGTGTTTGATTTATAGCGTTGATATGCAATTTACTGAATTTAACATTCGGGTTGTTGCATGTGAACGTTCACGACCTGCGTGCACCTTAACTTAGCTTCGCTCGTACGATCTGAGCATTAATTATCGCGGTCATGACGAATATTATTGTTATCTGCCGTCAGTCGTCATCTTCCCCTTCTCTGCCGCCATTCTCCTGATAAACACGCAACAGGACTGCGCCGTGCCGTTTGTTATCATATAATAACGAGAAATGATAAATTAGGAGGGAAATGTGGTGTACGACTTATTTTTACTTACTTCACTTTGAAAATTGAAATTTACTCTCTTGGCTTAGGTGGAACAATAGCCGAGAGCGTTGAATGTCTCGCATGTTTTTTACGCTCCGCAGCGTAGGGATGAGGGGCGACGAATTCGGCGGATGCCAGGGGTGCGCATGACGCCGGTTCTAATGAACTCTTTCGTTCGCCACTCGTGCCACTCTTAAACCACCGTTTTAATCAGTGCTTCTCAAATCGCATCAACCCCGCTCTTCCTTCGGCCGTTTTTAGCGATCAATATCCGCAGCCAATCAAAATGATTTTTTTCTCTGTATTTTACACTTTATTTCATTCTTACGTCCAAATTTTACGTCACGCATATTCTACATAAAAACATTCACTTTGTATCTTGCTTCTCTGTTTTTATTTTATGTTTCACTTCTTTATTACCTTTACTATTATAGATTTTATTCCCCCTTCTCCCCCGCGCGTGTTTTGAGCGCCACTGTCACCTGGACAGGTTGGCGATGTCGAGGACGCAGGGGGTTGAGGAAGAGAAAGGGAGAGGCAGGTGGTGACGAGGGCAGATCCGGTTCGCTTAGTGTGACGAGAATAGAGGCATGTTATTGATTATGGAAAAATACCCTCCCTCCCCTCCCACCCGCGGCTCGGAACGGTGCGGAGGGAGAGGGTGGGTGGCTCGCAAGTGTGGTCGACACCCCCTCGTCTTCTTCAAGCCGTACCTTCTAGCGGGTGTCATGGCTACTGTACACCCCGCAGCTTCTCTCTATCGTGCTCTTCACCCGTCCTCTCCGCCCCCATTATTGCCTATCGTCTTCTCGTCTGACGGCGTGACGTCATAATAACGTCGCGTCCTTGCCGGCACTCATTCCTCGCGGGTTGGCCGGTGCGTGCAGTTGATGCGCCGGTGTATTTTCTTACGTCACCAGAGAGGGGAGTTCTTTCGACATATGGATGAGGCATTGCTTAAAATGCCTTATACAGGGTGATTCGCGCGAACACTCGTGTATTATCCTCTCGACAAACTCTACAGCCAACAAATCAATAAATTTGGCGTATACATAATAGTTGGCGTTCCACGCAGGGTCTCTCTCGGATCAATCGCGCTTTTTTTGATTTTTTGATTTTTTTTTTTTTTTATAATTCTCTCTGATAGGATTAATGTGGAACGATTGGAAATGGAATGAGAATTTGCAAATCGTTCTTTCCGTCGCTCAATCTGCCTCTTCGCCTTTCCTGTTTCTCTTGAATCTTTCGAAACGAACATTTTTGTAGGATAGACTGTTTTTTTCTTCTTGTCTTTAGAATAGTTTGGAAGGACGATCCAAATGGTAGAAACGTGAGGAATTTAACGGGGAAATGTTGCCAGGCAGGGGAGAATTTCTCTTATAGAAGACGAGGATCTTCTCGCTGCCATTAATTAATCTTGCATGATAAATGTTAAACCGGCTGTCATTTCGGAAGATATTAGACGCGCCACCAACTGCTCGTCCCGATTGTAGCAGATGTTGGTGCATAATTTCCGTCAGTTTTTCTGTAACAGCTTTGTCTATTTTTCTTACTAATCATAATATATTAAAAAATTAATTTTGTCAAAATTAAAAAAACGATTTTCAGTCTTGGTAAATGCATGTGGCTTGCTCGTTCGTCGCGTATGATGCGCATACAAATGAGTATTTTATCGTCCTGTTCTCTCACTGATCACGACAATGAACGAGATTCTCTGGTTTTTGTTACAGATGAAGTGGACGTAATTGGTTACACGAGCAATCAATCGGACACCGATGATCATAGTAGCGTACAAAGTAGTAGCGACAGCGGTGTCGCAATGTCCACCTCCAGGCTGACTCTTTCCGAGATGGACAATCTTTAGGTACGTATACAAGTCAATTAGATCTTAAACAAAACAGACGCAGGCGAACACTATTATTCTACAGAAGCCAATATTAATTTTCAATGAAAAAATTATATTTAAATTAAAATGTGTTTTGCTTACGAAGTTAATTATTAGATCACGTAACGTCACACAATTACTTGCAGTTGATCTCTTGTAGTTGATTGATGAATAAAACAGCATATGCTAAATACAGAGAATTCGTTAAGAGTATAGGATCGTAAATCGCCAAAGGAAGGAAAAGCAAAAAAAAATAGCAGTCGGTGACAAGCGTAAAAGCGGGCGGGGAGAGAAGAGGGGTGGGCAAGGGGCAAGGGTAGATGTTGGACAAATAAATTCTCACATTGCTTCCTCTGCGCTGTTTGCAGACAAACAGGCGGCGTGATGGCGGCGAAAGAAGAAGCGGTTAAAGAAGAAAAAGAGAAAAGGACAGGGGAGGGGGAGGGAGAACGAAAAGAAGAAAGATTCATCAGGGCGTACGAAAATTGACGGCGCGCGAGATATCGATTCATACACACTTAAACATAATACACACAAAATACACATTTAGATTCATATTCGTACAACTTTGTCCTTCCAAAATGGCCTGGCTGGCGAAGATTGGAGAATGAAGTCCTTGACGCATCGCTCGACTTTGCGAACCTACAAAAAATGGGAGAGATTTCGGCAATCATCGAGGAAATCAAAGGAGATCGGTCGTTAGGAAGTGACTATGCAAACCCTAGAGAATATTATGGCATGAAGAAATAAAATTAAAAAAAGAAAAAAAGATATCATCTTGGTCTTAGCCTACAATGTAAAAGAGACAAGAGAAGTCTTTGATGCATCCATTAAAAAGAAATCTGCGGAGAAGTTGAATAGCTGACTTAAAAAAAAAAGGAATAATCTATCAATTAATTTGATAAGTGAAGACAAAAAATTATTTGAAGACAAGAAGAAGAAACGGTCTATCCTACGGAAACGTTCGTCAATAAACTTGAAAGAAATAGGAGAAGTGAAGAGCAAGTTGAGCGAAAGAAAAAAAAAGAATAGAAAAGCAGAATATGTAAAACATAAGTCTTGTCGCGAATTATGTTTTACATTCTTAGAGGAGAACAACATCTGGAAATGTTCTGGAAAACGGAAGATCAGATTGCAGCACAAACAAAAGAAGAAGAGGATTAAAAAGAAGTAGAAGGAGGAGAAAAAAGAAGGAATTGGAAAAGTTTAACGAAGAGAACCAGCGCTTTTCTATAAGGTTAATCTCAGATGAAGGGAAAGGAGCACGAAGAGACAAGAATAGAAGGGAAGAAAAGGTTCGAAAGAAAGCTGAGGAAAAACGAAAAGCGATTGAAAAAACGTGAAGAATAACATGAAGAATAATGAAGGCAGTTGTAAATTTTATCGAGCGCTGACAAATCGCAGCAGCATTGTACATATTTTTAAGAAGGAACAGATTTATCGAGAGAGCATAGATGTGTAAGAGAGGGAGAGAAAGAAAGAGAGAGAGAGAGAGAGAGAGAGAGAGTGTGTGTGTGTGAGAGAGAAAGAAAGAAGTTAAGTGAAAAACGGAAGTTACAAGAATGTTAAACGAAAATGTAGGGAAGTTCTTTGTTTCGTTGCAGACTTGGTCTTGAATTCTCGTACAACCGAGTAAAATAAGGCGTCAATTTCCCATTTCGATACTTGACTACTGACGAAACGCGCCTTCTCGGTTTAGTTTCGTATTATTCGATAAAATTAGAGATTTATTTTTAGAAATTTATTTTGGACAATTTAATTAAGTAACTAACTAATCTTATTGTTTTAAACTATGCAGATTGATTCATAAACATTCTCAATTTTTCAACTAATTTTGTAAGTTTTGGAAATATTTATGAAGCAATCCGCCCAATTTAAAACGACGAAATTATTTATCAAAAATAATTTGTAATATATTGGATGAATTATAATAAAATTATTCTATAAATTTATCTATAAAAAATTGTTTATTCAATTTTTAAAACTTGAAAATTATATACAGTATTTGGAATTAACTGTAATATGTTAAGGTTATAAAATATGGAATTATTTTTATAGCATAAAATTATGTATAAAAATTAGAATTACTTAAAAGATTGCATAAATTATTTTAATTAGATATAAAGTCATTCCCGAAACTAAACCGCGGATTTCTTCCATAGAATGACATTTAAACAAACACTCTTCGCAAACAAACAACTTTATTAATTAAATAAATCTATTAAGTAAACAAATACCGCGCCGTCATCATGTTTGCAAAACCCAAAAGAATAAAAATCAACAAAAGTTTGACACCGCGTAAAATAGAGGAGTGGGAGAATTTCTAGAAAATGAAAAAGAGGATAGGACAAAGACAAATGGCAGATTTCTTGATGAATAATGAATTGCGATTAATTAATAGACTACAATGCAGAAACTTACACAGAAAACAAGCGAGTGGATATTCATATACATGCAAACACATACATAAAAAATACACACATTTACCTACTTATACTTACACTTACATCCACACCTACACGTATGTGTTAAGTCATTATTCTATAATTAAGTGAGCAAAGCAAAGTATAAAAAGCAAAAAAAGTAAACTGATAACTATATTACGGTGTAAGTGATGTTTCATTATATATACACATAAATACAGGGTGTCTCTTATTTACAAATAGATCCTTCAGTGACTTTTGGCCTCCGGGAAATTTGTTTATAATAATTAGAGATCGAAAATTGTTTAAAACCGCATTATCATTTTAATGCAATTTGTCATTGCAAAAAAGGACATGAAATTCGTTTATAGATAACTAAAAAAATGTAAAAAATTAATGAAATGCATGTTATTAATCAAAAATATTTTTTATTCAAGAAATATGTAACTGAAGAAAAATTTGAAAAAAATAAGGGACACTCTAATACATTTTCGAAGAGTACAAATTCCGCAAATCCCTCGTGGGATGTTCTCGGGGCTGTTACCACCTTTTTATGTGATGCGTTTCTTTTTTCACGAGGATGATCTTTGATTATTCCTAGATCATTCACGAATGATATACGAAACAAAGAATCTGGATTGTGGATTGAAACCAATATAGTTTTGCTGAGTTTGCATTTTGATGTTATAGTAAGTTAATCTTGCTTTTATATGGAATATGTCATTACATCGACATTTTTCACAATTGTGCAAATATATAAAAAATACTTTTAAATAATTTGCAAAAATGTCTGAAATGTCTTTTCTCATTTTTCGTTTTTTTGTATTAGATATTCTTTGTCTCTTAAATAGATAAAACTGTTGGGAAATAATATTATCTCAACAAATATGACATCGATATGAGATGAGCATAATCACAGCATAAAAAGTAAACTCGGCGAAATTATAGCGATTTTTATTCCTAATCTGAAAAATGTATCGAAAGTCGGAGGAATTCTCGACTTAAAGGACAAAGGAGGACGAGAAGATTCTTTTGTAAGGTCGGCTTTGGACGATATGTTAATGGATAGACTGACTACCAAATGTAATAGATGATCTCTGAAGACGGACGTTAATTCGCAGACTGGAAGTAACTATTTTGATGAGCATAATTCGAAAAATATTCCCTCTCAGAATGTATGCCGTCGGTTAACCCTTTAACTTTTCTCATCGTACATAGGATATGCAAATTGGCTGGAGAACCTGCCATTAAAATGCAGAAGCCAGTAGTAGTGAGAGAAATCCTGTATAGAATGTTTTATTTATAACATTATTCATTAACATTTTTCCCTAGGAATCTAAAAACAGAGGAAATGTAATTATTTTAATCTTTAAAGATTGTTCTTAGTTTTTAGAGTGGAAATAATCGAAGTTGGCAAAGCATATATGAAACACAATTTTTCCAATTTGCAAAAGAAAAGATTTGCAAATAATAGATTTTTTGATGAATTAAGTATGATATAATTACGACCTGTAAAGAAATCTGTGACACATAAATCGGTACTATAAGACTCCCTGTATGTACAAAACTCATATTATTTTGAAAATATTTTATTTCAATTTTATTTGTATTATTTTACTTTTTATTTCATTTTTTGATTTCTATCTTTATATATACGTCTCTATGTCTTTCTTTTTTATTTTATTTAGTTTATTCTTTGTTTATTGTCTTCATATTATTATAATGCAGTATTATATTATTAATATAACGCAATAAAATTGATTGATAAAATGAAAATTCTAGCGATATTTAACATTTAACATTGAAAACTTTGACGATATATAAAATTAAAATTATTTTAAAAAATGCTCTATTTTAAAATAAAATTAAAAATAAATTAAAATTATCTAAAATTAAGAAACTTTATAAAACTTTTCTTTAAATTAAGAATATTCAAATTTTTTTAATAATTTAATTTCTTATTGATTACTTTTTTTGTATATATTTTGCACAGTATTACATAATAAGCAAATATTCTAAAATTTAATATAATCCAAAAAATTGAACATGCATATAAAAATCGAAAAAATTGAGAAACTTTATATACACTAATAATATTTTAGAATCAAAAAATTAAAATGAATTAAATCGAAATTGTTAAAATCCAGGAATCTAGTAAAGGAATTGGAAATCTCAAATATATTAAAAAATCTAATTTATAAAAATTTATTAATATTAGATATTTTTTGAAGCTTTAAATTAATTTAAATTCACCTTAACATTTAAATTCTAATTTATACAATTTTAAGAATTTTAAATAAACTTTTAATTTATAAGCTAAATATAAGTTAAAGGGTTAACTGCTAATATTATTAATTAATTTACTAGACGGTCATTAGACGAAGGACGTGAAAACACATAAACATAAATACACATTGACAAAGGAAAAGAGGCAGCAGTCAACGGAACAAAGATAGGTGACAAAAGGAAGTAAGATTGCTAAAGTGATAAAAATTCACAAAGTCAAATCCCGCCGAAAGAGACCAAGCCAAGTGAAATATTTTCAACGAGGCACGCCGCGATTTTTAATACTGAATTGTATATCGATTGTTGTATCAACAATCGTTTATAGTTAAATCGCAATCATATTGGTTGTTGCACGAATCTATCGCGGCAAACACATCACAATTATAAGCGGCGGGCTTTGACTGCGATAATGTGTGCGATCCTGCTTCTGTCTTTCGACAATTTTTTTTTAATTTTCTATATATTTTTTAAACATTCTTTAAACATTGCAGTTTTTTTTCTATTATTTTAAGAAAATTAATATTAGTAAAATTATCTGTTGGATTGTTCTCGGGATTAGTAGGATTTGAAAAAGTAAATACTTTAACATGTTTTTTGTCTACATCGAGTATATATGATTAATCAATTTTATTAATTCTCTGCGAATTATTAATCTGTTTAAAGAAAAACAATGTTGGCTGTTGTTTGTCACCAATTATTAATCAAAGCACAAATAACTCGAAATAGAAATGACACCGTTGATCTTCGTACGCCAAAGCAATAAAGTCCTTGAAAGAAATAAAAAATATGCGATGGACAAATGAGGGAACTACCAAGAACCAACAAAAAAAAATTAATGACTACAAAGTTCTACAATGAAATAAAAAAAAAAAAGAAAAAAGAAAATAAATAAATAAGCGCAAAAATAAACGAGACCTCTGCATAGAGATCTAAACGAGCAAATTGATTAATTAATTAAAAACATTTTCTGAAGATTTTTTCTGTGACGCACAATATGTCACATATATTATATTTTAACCCATTTATACGGCCAATAAAAGAAAAAAGAATTTTAATAAAAATGTAATTTATACATTCAGTGGAATTTTCTTATGAATTATGTGATTTTAGTAACTATTTTCTTAAACTATTTAATTTCTAAATTTATTTTATAATTTTTAAACATATTTAATGTATTTGCATAATTCAATCTAAAATCTTTGCAAAATAAAATCAATTAAATTTTTTGTAAATATCTGTATTGAAAGTCGTATATTAATTATGTATTATAATCTTGGCTTTTTTGATGGGTTAAAATATGCGAAAACAAATTACCACATGATCTTTCTAAAGAGAAGAAAAAATCGCAGGAAACACATTTAGCAAGAAAGAAATACATACTTCTATAAAGAATTTTTTCGTAACTTTGTTAGAAATAA